CAGGAGCGCAGGGCGGCGTTGGAACAGAGGCTGGAGGGCCGCTGGCAGGAGCGGCTGCGGGCCACCGAAAAGTTCCAGGTGAGGACGACCGGGCGCCGGGAGACTTTCTGGGAAGAGACTTGCCATTCAGGAGCCTCTGCTCAGGGCGCAGGACGAGGTCGGGACCCTGGCTGTGAGCGCTGCGCACCTGTCTGCCCTGAGATCCCGACCCAACCCAGGCCGAAGCCGCTCCGGCCCGGCCCGGCCCGCTTCTCCCCCTGCAACGCCTGGCCACTCCCAAGGCTGGGTCCCTACCGCTGTCTCTCCCAGAGGAGGGGCCCCAGCTCCGTCCCAGGGCTTCACTCTCCGAGCGAATCCCAGGCCCGGGACAGCTGCTCCCCTTCGCACTGCGCAGATGGGACCAACAGCTGAGAAAACAGCGTCCTGAGGGCCAGACAGAGGCTTGCCGGGAGCCCCTCCCCTCCCCCTCTTAGAGGAAGATTCCAGAAAGGGGGGGGCTGGGGTGAGGGGACAGCGATGGGACAGGGCTGTTTGGCTTCCTGCTCGTGATTAATCTTTTTTTCCTTCTGCTTCCACTTTCTCCCTCTCTTTTCTGTGACCAATCTCCTCTCCTCCCTCTGCCTCCTGCTTCCTGTGGGAGCTGAATTCTCAACGGCATGTGTGACCGTTTAATCAGCGTCCCAGTGAGCAGCCAGGCAGCGTGGGAGAGGGTGGGGGGGCTGTGCTCATGGCGGGGGGGACCCAGACGAGGCTCCCTGCGCAGGGTGGGGTCAGGAAGCAGGACCAGCTGCCCTCCAGGGCAGTCAGTGAGGAGCAGGACCCCGGGCCCAGGAGCACTCCCCGGCTCCACTGACCCATTGCTTGCCCTGCAGCTGGCCGTGGATGCCCTGGAGCAGGAGAAGCAGGGCCTGCAGAGTCAGATCGCCCAGGTCCTGGAGGGCCGGCAGCAGCTGGCACACCTCAAGATGTCCCTCAGCCTGGAGGTGGCCACGTACAGGTATGGCGCGAGGCCTCCCAGCGCACAGTCTCACTCACACTCGAGGGTTGGGGGGAGACACAGACTCTGTGACTCGAAGCGGGTCACTTCCACACAGGGACACGGCCCACCTGCAGCCTGTGTGTGCACCCCCCGGGTGAGGACCGTGGGCCGTCTTCGAGGCTGGGTGGTCACTGACTTGCCGCCCCTAATGGGTGGAGTGGACTGCGACTTCCACAGCCCTGTCTGACCTGATGCGGGGGCAGGCGCCTTTCCAGACTTATCGCCTCTTTGGCTCTGCTGGCTCATGGCTCACGGCTGCCTTTCCCACAGCTTCTTAGTGGCTGCACAGCCCAGCAAAGTCCTCTCTCTGCTGGGACATGGCCCAGCAATGGAGCCCCAGGAAGGGGCTTTGCATCCCCAAGTGTCAGACTCTGTGCTCTGAGCCACAAGATGGGGCTGTGGCAGGACCTGCTTAGGAGAGGCCCCTCCCCAGCAGGGGCACAGAAACAAAGACTTCTACACCCCAAGGGTCTGGGGAGGCAGAGTTCGGAGATAGGGTGGTGACCCCAGTCAGACCACAGCGGGGAGGGGAGGAGGCCCTGAGGAATGTCACCACTGGGCTGTGTGGCATGAAAAGGATTTGGAGAGAGGGGGCTGAATTCATTTGCTTTTGTCTGTCCCCAGCTCTGGGGCCCCGGGGGAAGAAGAGGGGGCCTATCCCATGGGAACAGCCCGAGAATTCCCACTTCCCTGAACACCCCCCTCCCCAGCCCCTCCAGACGGCTGTGTAGACAAAGGCAGTGATTAGCATGAGAATCAGCCCCCTGCCCGAGGATGAGGTCATGGGCCCTGGGGGAGGAGGAGCAGTGTGGACCTCCCTGCGCTGGCTGCGTGGGAATCACCTCCCGTGGCTGTGGCTCTGTGGCTGTGACTTCAGCTCGGGTGTGGCTTTGTGTGGTCTGACCTGCTGAGCTGGGGTGAGGGGTGAAGCCCTTAGCTCACTCAGTTGTCCTCCCTCCTGCCCAGGACCCTCCTGGAGGCTGAGAACTCCCGGCTGCAGACCCCTGGAGTCAGCTCCAAGGCTTCTCTCAACTTCCTGGGTAAGAGGAAGAGTGAGTGCCCGAACGCCCCTCTTCAATCTTTATACCTTTCCCAAGAGGCCCCATCAGCCTTAACTCCTGGGCCCCCAACAGTGCAGCACTGAGTGAGGCTCTCAGCCTGGGCTTTGGGGAGCCAGGGCAGCAGCTCTGGTCACTCTTGCTGGATGTGAGTGCTGCTCTGTCCTTGCACCTCCCAGGCCAGCACTTGCTGACCCTGTCTCTTCTCTGCCTTTCCAGACCCCAAGCTGGAGCTGCATTTCCCTGGGACCCTGGAGGGCCAGCGGCTGGGACCTGTCCTCAGCCCAACTTCCCTCCCTTCCCTGCTGCCTAACACCCTCCAGACACCTGTGCCAGTCTTTCTGAAGAGCCAGGAATTCCTCCAGACCTGTACACCCACCTTGGCCAGCACGCCCATCCCACCCACACCTCAGGCTCCTTGTCCTGCTGCAAATGCAGAGATCCAAGCCCAGGATGCCCCTTGCTCTCTGCTCCCACCACAGGGTGGGAAGCAACAGGCTCCAGAGCCACTGTGGGCTGAAGCCCAGGCAGCAGTCCCTGCTAGCATCCTTCCAGGACCCAAAGAGCCAGGTGGTGAGCAGCAAGAGGCCAGTCCAGGCCAGGTCCATGAGGACCAGGCCTCCCTGGCCCCACCCCTCAGCCCTGACCACCCCAGTTCAGAGGCAAAAGACCAAGAACCCAGTGGGTCTGCAGCATCCAGCATATTCCAAGAGGAAGGTAAAGGGCCGATCTGGGGACTGGTAAAGAAAGAAGCAGCTGTAGAGGTCCAAGTAGTAAGCAGCTTACAGCAGCAAATATGGCAAGAAGTGGGGGACCTGGACATGAAGGAAAGCCAGGACTCCCAGGGTCTTCTGGAAAAAGAAACCCTGAAAGCTCTGGGAGAGGAGATGCAAAAGCCACTGATTCCTCTGGAGAACCAGAACTATGAGGCCCTAGAGAAAGATCGAGAATCTCTGAGGTCTTTAGAAGAGAACCTAGAAACACTAAAAAGTCTAGAAAAAGAAAATCAAGAGGTATTGAGGTCTTTAGAAGAAAAAGACACGGAAATAGAGAGACCTCTAGAAAAGGAAGCCACTGAATTACCCAAGCCTGCAGGAAAAGAGGACTCACAGGCATTGCAGTCCCTGGAAAATGAGAACCAAGAACTAATGATATCTCTTGAAAGTAACCTAGAGACAGTTTTATTTCCAGAAAAGGGAAATCAAGAATTAGTGAGGTTTCTAGAAGAGGAGAACTTAGAAGAGTCACTGAGAACTCTTGAAAAGAAGACCAAAAAGCCACTGAGATCTCAAGAAGCAGAGGATCAGGAGATGTGGAAATCTCTACCAAAAGAGAATCAGGAGTCTCTGAGGTCTCTTGAAGATGAGACCCAGAAGACCTTTAAACTTCTGGAGGATAATCAAGAGCCACTGACCTCTCTAGAAGAGAATAAGATTGTGAGACCTTTAGAAAAAGAGAAAGTGGAGTTGCTGAAACCTCTAGAAGAGGATGAGAAAGTTGTGAGAACATTAGAAAAAGAGGATCAGGAGTCACTAAGGTCTCTAGAAGAAACAGATCAAAAGAATGTGGGAGCTAGAGAAAAAGAGAACCAGGAACCACTGGGATCTCCAGAAGAGGAAGATGAGAAGATTGTGAGACCTGTAGAAAAAGAAAACCAGGAATCACTGGGGTATCTACAAGAAGATGAGAAAATTGTGAGCCCTCTAGAAAAAGAGAACTGGGAACCACTGGGGTCTCTAAAAGAGGATCAAGAGACCATGAGACCTCTAGAAAAAGAGAATCAAGAGCTACTGAGGTTTCTAGACGAAGGCCAAAAGACATTGAAAACTCTTGAAAAAGAGACTCAACAGTCACTGAGGGCTCTAGGGGAGGAAGGCCAGATGGCATTGAGACATCTAGGAAAGGTAAATCCAGAGCCACTGGAATCTCCTGGAAATGAACAGGAGATAGTTGAGTCTCCTGAAAAAGAGAATCAAGAATTATTTGAGTCTCTGAAAGGTGAGGGTATAGAGGCAGTGAGATCTTCAGAAACACAGAACCTAGAGTCACTGAAGTCTGTAGGAGAGGACCTGGAAATGCTAAAATCTCTAGAAGCTGAAAAGTCACTGTGGTCTCTAGAAGAAAAGAATAGGGAGACAGTGAAATGTTTAGAAAAGGAAATTCAAGAAACATTAGGGTCTATGGAAGAGAACCAAGAGACACTGAGTCCCCAAGAAAAAGAGAATCAAGAAACACTGAGACCCCTGGGTAAGTGGAGCCTAGAGAACTTGAGATCTCCAGAGGAGGCAGGGAAGGAAGGTCGCAAAGATCTGGAAGGAGGGAGCCTGTTGAACACACAGAATCAAGAGTTACTGAGGTCTCAGGAAGAAGAGGCACGGGAGCTATGTCAGTCTGAAAATCGGCAGGTGTGGGAGGATGTGGGAGACCAAGGTCTGGATCGGGAAGCCGGGTCTAGGGGAGAAGCAGTGGGAGACCAGGAGCCAGCCCTGAGGGAGCAGGATGGAAATGCAGCAGCAGAGGCCTGGCGCACAGGGAGCCCTGATCCTCCAGAGCGGAGGGTCCCAGCCGAGGGCCCACAGGACGTTGAAGGGCTTCAGAAGCAGGAAGCTGCCCAGGGAATGGCCGAGGTGACTGGGGCCAGGCGGGGGGAGGAGGAGGAGGAGGAGGCGGCCCCAGGGGGTCACCAGGCCTCTCCTGAGGTCACCTGGGGGTCCGAGACAGCCAGGGGCCAGTCTGCTGCGGGAGGGGAGCTGGGCCTGGAGCAGGAGGTGGGAGGAGGTAAGCTGTGGGAGGAGGCCGCTCAGCCGCCCCCGCAGGAGCACAGTCCGCAGGCAGAGAGTTCTGGGGGCCTGGAGGCAGCGCTCCCCAGCAGAAGTGGGGACCCTGAGGAGCACCCCAAGGACTGGGGGCAGTTGGGGCCCGAGGCCCTCGTGGGAGCAGGGCAGGTGTCCCCTGCTGATGCCCCTCAGCCCGGGCCCACTGAACCCTACGCACCCACCCCGATCCCGGAAGATTCGCCTGGGCCCCAGCCCCGGAAGGAGGGGGCCCGGGAGGAGGTGGGCTGGGGGCTGGAAGGCAGGGCTGAAGCCCTGGGCAAAGTGGAGGCTGAGCAGGAGGAGGCCAGAGCTGCGGAGAGCGAGGTGGACGAGCTCGGGGAAACCCTTCCTGACTCCACTCCCCTGGGCCTGTACCTCAGGTCCCCCTCGTCCCCTGGGTGGGACCTGGCGGCAGAGGCGGAGAAGGAAGGCTGGGATCCCGCTGTCCCAGCCTCCGGGGGCTCGGGGGCGGAGGAGGAGCAGGGCCCGGACTCCGAGCTGTCAGACGAGTTCGAGGACCTGGAGACAGAGGCTTCCTTTCTTCCTGGGGCCCCCAGGAAGGCGGCAGAACCTCTGGGCCAAGCCGACCCGCTGCTGGAGTCTGCAGCCTGGGGTCTGGACGGGGAGTCGGATGGATTTGCAGATGAAGAAGAGAGCGGGGAGGAGGTGGAGGAGGAGGAGGAGGAGGGGCGGGAGCCAGGGGCTCGGCGGTGGAGGCCAGAGTCCCCTGGGGGAAGTCTGCCAGTCCCCAGAAACTCTCAGAGAGGGGACCCCCTGGCTCCTGAAGCCCTGGGCATCAGTACCCCCTGGGACGACCGCTTGCAGGGTGCTGCGGTTCACACCCCCACGACCGCCATGGACGCGGAGTCCCAGGACAGTGCGGACCCCTCCGGCTCCGAGGAGGGGTCTGACTCTGCCGCCTGGGAGAAGGGGAACCCCAGTGGGGTGGAGGACACAGGCCCAGGGGACACCCACAGTGTCAATGGGGGCCCCGGCCTGGAGGAAGAGTCAGAGCACACAGGGGGGAGGGTGCTGAACGGGCTGCAGCAGCCCAAGGGAGGGGGGTCCCCTGACGCGGACCGCGGGACCCCCTCACAGGAAGAGGAGGGGGTTGCCCTGAAGACCCCCTGGCCAGGGGCTCCCCTGCATCTGGCCCCCAGCCAGTTCCTGAAGTTCAAGCCCAGGGAGGGAGACGGGGACTCTTGGTCCTCGGGGGAAGATTAGCACAGGCTCCCGGCCCAGGGGACCCACTCGGGGCTGGCACCCTAACTTACGGTCTCAACCCCAGTTTCGTCTGAGAGGGAGAGACCCGCTGGCTAAGGCGGTAACACGTGGCGAAGGAGCTACGCAGGCTCTGGACAGAACCTGGGCACTGCCTGGGACATCACAGCGGGACCCACCCCACCCCCACTCTCGGCCCCTCCGCGCCATCCCGGGGAGCCCTCGTCCGCGCAGCGGCCCCGCCTGGCTCTTTGTGCTTGAGTAAAGTCTTGTTCCACTTGCTTAGAAGTCTGCACTCTTTCTTCTTCCTTCACTGGGTTCACAGCTGTCCTGGTCCTGGGGCCGCCCCCAGACGCCGCCTGGGAGACTGAATGCGGGGTGAGGGGCGTTCAGGTGACCTCGGCTCCCGCGGAAGGCCGGAAGCCTTGACCCTCTTCTGCCCCGCAGCGTTGATTACAGGGCCAGGCTTCTGGGTGCCCTCCCTGGTGTCGCCATTGTAATAAGCCCTCTGGTCCCCAAACCCAAACAGTTGTCTGGCCCGTGAGACTGGCTGGGTCAATGAGGCGGCCAGGTCCGAGGGGGTCTGACTGTGAGGACTCAGGTCAGATGTGACCTCTCTGGACGTGAGACTGTGGGTCAGTGAGGCGGCCAGGTCCGAGGGGGTCTGACTGTGAGGACTCAGGTCAGATGTGACCTCTCTGGGCCCGGGTGGGTGGGGAGGTGGGACACCCCGGACAGTGGTGGTGAGCATAGGGCACGGGTGTTACCAGCTTTGAGATGGAAGACGTTAGTGTGCTTCAGTACTGGCTGAGTTAGGGTCGCCTTCACTGTTAGGGTCTTAGATCTGTGGCAGGACCTTCGGGGGATGAAGCCTGAGCAGGGAGCAGGGTGTGGGATGCCGAGAGGGAGACCCTTAGATTCAGGGCTCCCCACCCTGACTTCCCAGGAGATCTGAGCTTTGTGCAGGGCAGGGTCAGGACGCCCCCTTCAGTTTTGTGAGGGAGGAAGGGCTGGCGACCCCTAATCACCCAGGGTGGGGCTCTTCTAACCGCCTCGCCCACCCTAACCTTGGAGCCCGGCCTGCCGGTCCCACCCTACCCTTCTGGCCAGTGAACCTCCGCCGTCCCCTTCCTGTGCCCACTGCTAACAAGGCTGCCTCTGATCCACCAGGCTTCTCGGCCCGGGCCAGCGCACTGGCCAGAAAGGCCCAGTCCTGGCCCTTCCTGGGCTGGCCGACCTCCTCCCTCCACACAGCCAAGGCCCCGCAGCGCTGACCAAATGCCACTGCCGTCAGCCCTTGAAGGGGCAGGGATGTGAGTGCCACAGGGAGGGACTGCGCTGGGGACTGAACCCAGAGGCTTTGTTTCGTTGTTTTCTTTTTTTTTCGGTACCAGGAGTCAAACTCAGAGCCTTGTACTTGCTAGGCAGATGTTGTGCCGCTGAGCTGCATCCCGAGCCCTTTTTATTTGTTTGTATTTTATTTTATTATTATTTTGTTGTTGTTTTGAGACAGGGTCTCACTGTGTAGTTGAGACTGACCTGGAACTCACTGTGTAGCCCAGGCTGATCTCCAACTCACAGTGATTCTTCTGCCTCAGCCTCCGGAGTGCTAGAATTACGGGTGTGCGCGACCATGCCCGGCTGTATTTTATTTCGAGACGCATCTCACTAGGTTGTCAAGTTGTCCAGGCTGGACTCAAAGCTGTGATCCTCCTGTCTCAGCCTCCCACAGTGCTGGAATTACAGGCCTGTGCCACAACCCAGGCTCAGGAGAGGCTGTTCTTAAAGTGGGTGTGCAGTAGATGTGGGGAGCTGTCCATGCAGCAAGGGAAAGGAAGGTTGGACAGTGATGGGGACATTCCTGGCTGTGATGAGAGAAGCAAACGTCATTTTCCAACAGCTTTTTTTTTAAAGATGGGTCTCCCTATGTAGTTCAGGCTGGCCTTGAGCTCATGGCGATCCTTCTGCCTCAGCCTCCAGAATGCTGGGGTCACCGGCGTGTTCCACCATGCCCGGCAACAGCTACTTACCGAGCCATCTACTCTGCGTCATGTACTGAGCAGGCTCTTGGAATACAGGGAAAGATAACAAGGTTCCTCACTGGCTGAGCACACTTCCAAGTGGAAGTCATGTTTGAAAACGGAAGCGGAGACTGCGGAGGTGGGAAGCAACGGGGAGGGGCAGGGGAGCGAAGAGCATCAACCTGAGGGTGTGCGGTTCCCACGGTGAGTCTGTTGGCGCAGCACGGACGTGCCAATTTTATTTTTTAAAGAAGAGGAGCAAAGAACAGGGAGAAGTGCCCTGGGTTAAAGGAGGTGGAGCTGGAGCGGGGCAGAAAGTGTGTATGGGGGTGCTGCCCTGGGGACCCGAAGGGTGGGGACACAGGGCGAGGACAGAGCGGGCAGTGGGGACAGGAGGAAGGCTGGGGCTCGGGAGGTGAAGGAGGGAGTCTGGGTGAGGGAGGGACAGGGCCTGGCATCCCAGGCTGTGGCACAGGTGAGGACAGGTTTCCCACAGCAGCTCCGGGCCAGGCTGCTGCTGCTACTGAGGACGGACTGGGCCCCAGGCTCAGAGCGGTGTGGCTGGGAGTGGGGAGAAGGGAAGGGAAGCGGGGTCTCCGGACAGCGAGCTGCTGTGGGAGGTGCGGGGCAAAGGGCAGCGGAGCAGAGTCCAGGCTGCCCATTTCTGAGAGGAAGAACCCCTAGGGAAATTATGGCCTTCCCAGGAGGTGCGTATGTGGGTTTGGAACCCAGGAGAGGGTGCCAGGCTGGAGATGAGTCAGGTTAGCTGGGAGTGGCAGTACATCCCCACAGTCCCAGTACCCTGGGAGGCTGATGCAGGAGGATCTTGAGCTCTGGCCCAGATGGGCAATTCAGCAATCCTGTCTTAAAATCAATAAAAGACTTAGGTTGTAGCTCAGTACAAAGGCCAGGGGTTCAATTTCTGATACTGGGGGGGGTGTGGACATACCAAGAGAGCACAGAGGGAGGAGGCGCTGGACAGCACCTCTAAGGACCTCTCCACAAAGGGACGTCCGGAAGGAGCTGGGGAAGGGTCCCGCAGCGCTGGGGGCCGGGTCTGGGAGGCCTGTGTGGGGCAGAGGGCTCTGGAAAGGACTGAGTGGACGCCGGGGAGGGGAGGGAGGGAGGCGAAGGAAGCCGGCACCCCCTGCGCCGAGGACAAATGGGGGCTATTCTGAGGCTCCTGGGGTAAGTATAGCCTTAGAGCGGGCGGGGCCGGAGGTGGCTTCCTCGGTTTGTTTGGGGCTCTTCCTTATAAGGCTGCGCGGCCGCGGCGGCGTCGGGGTGAGGTCAGGGGCTGAGCTCTCGGTTCAGCCGCCCGCCGCCGCCAGCGCCCGGAGGAAATCAAAGCCGGGCTCTGGCCCCCGGCCAAGACTGCGCGGGAGCGAGGCTCTGCAAGGGCCCTGCCCAGCGCGGCTCCGCTTCCCGCAGGGCCCCCGGCCCGGGCCTGGCTTCCCAGCTGCCTGGAGCTGGCGTGGACCGGTCCTGAGCCCCGCACAGCTCTGGGCCCCGCGGCCCCGCCTCCCCGCGGGAGCCAGCTGCGGCCACTTGGCCCTGCGGTGTCACAGCTGCTGCCAGCAATGCCATCCTGCTCAGGCAGGGGTGAGGAATGTGATTTAATCTCTGCTGGAATGTGTCCTGGGGAGCCCCACTCCCACCCCACAGGGGGCTGGGTCCGGGGCGGCCGGAACCCAGGCGCGGGAAGTGAGCCAGGGCCCTCCTGGAGATGAGGAGGCGGCAGGAGTGATGCTCCCGGCCGTAGCTGGCTCTGGGGAGGCACAGCGCAGCCTCGGAAGCCAGGGGAGCCCGGGAGGGCAGAAGGGTCTCAGGGGAGGCCTGCAGGGAAGCCCTGCTGCCTCTGTCCCCACACGCCTGCCTCTGTTCCGTCACCGGGGCCCCTTCACCTCCCCCTTGCAGCCCCAGCCCTGCGCCTGGCCCCGCCCTCCTAGACCCCGGTCCTAGAGCGTCCCCTACCCCCAGCCTTCTCTTCCAGGCCCCCCCAGTCCTGTCACTCCTACCCCACCCCCCCTGACTCAGCTGCAGCCCAGAAATAACGCCTGGCAGGTGCCAGGAGGCCTCCGTCGGGACCCTCCCTGCAGCTGCTCCCCAGGGCCCCAGGAAGGGTGGTCAGAGACTTCCTGGCTCCTCCAGGACTCTGCCCCCTGCAAGCCTAAGGAGAAACAGCCTCACTCAACACGCGGGACCCCCGTGTCCCTCTGGCTCCCCCTTCTAACCTGCCCTCGGTCTTCCAGCCACGCCCCCTTTCCTCACCCCTTCTAACTCCCCAGCCCCTGGGTCAGTCTCTCCAGAATTCCTTCCTGGTCCCGTCTCCTCATTTGCCAGGAAGGCACGTCATCAGAATGAACTTCCGCTCGTTTTGATAGAGAACCTGAGGTACAGAAGGCTGTCCCTGGCCGCTAGCTGTCATGCGGGGTCTTACAGGAGATGAGCCAGGGCTCTGTGGCTACCTCCTCCAAATACTCCAGTCGAATGGCCAACAGCTGCCCCTCTGTTGACAACCCCTGTACACACGGGCAGCCTCTGGATAAACACACAGCGTTGTGGGCCACCCACACTGACATTGCTGAATCCAGCTCCCTCCTCCCGCCTCCCTCTGGGTTGTGCTCCTCTGGTCCCAGACCTTTCCTGGTGTTCTCTCCCAAGGCTGTCAGTTCTCCCTTCCCAGGAGGAAGCTGGCTGCTCTGCAGCAAGAGTGCAAGTCGGACCTCAGAGAAGAGGGGGTCACAGGCAGGGGAGGGGCCGGTCCTCACTCAGGCCGGGGTCCCACTGCAGCCCCGAAGGTCCTCCCACCCATGGGGGTCAGACAGGCTGAGCATCTCTGAAAGTCTCTGGGAGCTGCTGTGTCATGGTGCAGCTGGCAGCCTGGACAATGCGGCCCTTTCTCTCTCGAGGCAGGGGACAGGCCTGCAGTCGGGGCCTCAGGGCTGGGACAAAGGCCCCAGTGATATGGGGTGGTGCTGTGGGGTTTCAGGGTGTGGGGAGGTGAGTGGGTCAGAGCAGCCTGGGGAAGTGGGGGGCTGTTGGGTGGGGAATCTCTGGAAGGCCATATCCATGCCCCCAGCCAGCCAGGTCTCCTCTGTCCATCCATACCCCTTCCCCCGGCTCCCACCTCCCTGTCACAGAGGGCCCCACTTTGGACCTAGGGAAGGTGCCCCAGAGCTATACACACCCACACTTCCAGGGTCTGGCAGGGTGGGCACATGGTCAGATCTGTGCTTACCCTGGGATGTAGGTAGGATACAGCACGTGTGCGTGCACACACACACACACACGCACGCACGCACGCACGCACGCGCGCGCACACAGGGCCAGGTCTTGGATTTGGTGCAGGGCACTGCTGAGTCATCCCTGGACCAGCTCCCCTTCCCCAGGAAGCTCAACAAAGCCAGGAGAAGGCTTCCGTTTCCTGCCAGAGCAGCCCAGCAGGTGCGGGGAGTGTTGGATTCCGGTTCGGCCTTCAAGTACCCCTGGGACTCCTCGCAGCAGACCAGAAAAGATGGGGGCTTGGCTTGGGCAGGGGGGTTCAGCAACAATACCTTGGTGGAAGGCAGAGAAGCCAAAGCCCCACCCAGCTCACAGGCAGGGACTCAGGCATCAGACCTGCTACCCAAACTCCCTCCAGGGCTGGGATATGGCTCCGACACACTGCAGGACCTGGTTTCAGTCCCCAGCATGGCCACAAGCAGCTCCCTCTGTGAGGCCCTGGGACAGATGGACACTGCCCACTCCCAGCCTTCTCTCCAGGGCCACTTTCCAGGCTGAAATCTTCCTTCACTCACATCCACCCTAGAGTCCTGACTTCCGCAAAGATGCATAGGGGGCAAACTGAGGCTCACATAGGACAAAACCGGGGCTCCCTTGGTCCCAGCACCATCCTCCAGGCCTGCATCTCCCAGGAAACCCAATCCCTGGCTGTGCTGGGTGGGGAAAGGAACGGGATGGGACAGGTGAGCCCAGGGTGAGGGCGAATGTGGTAGTGCAGCTGGAAGGTTGTGCTGGAATCTCAGAGACCAGCTGTTTGGGGTTAGACACAGGCTGGGGAAGGCCCGGCCTGGGGTGGGAAGGCCCAGGAGAGAGCCCTGCCCACCACCCCAGCGCACACTTGTCCTGAACCTGTCTCTGTCAGTCTTACCCACTGTCTCTGGCTGTCCACATTTCTCAGCCTTCCCCCTCTGTGTCACTGCCTCTTGGCTTTACTGACTTTTAGGAAAGGAATAAGAATTGCCTATGTATGCTGTGCGTGGTGCTGCACACCTGAAATCCCAACACTCAGGAGGCTGAGGCAGGAAGATCTGTGTGAGTTCGAGACCAGGCTGGGTCTCAAACCTGGGTCTCAAGACTCTGCCTCAAAGAAACAAACAAATCACAAAAACAAAGAATTGCCCATGCAGGGCTGGGTGTAGTGGTGCACACCTGTAATTCCAGCACCCTGGGAGGCTGAGGCAGAAGGACCACACAGTCTGGGCAAGTTAGAAATTCTGTGAGACCATCTAAAATAAAAATAAATACAAAAATAAGAAAGGATCGGGGATACAGCCCTGGGTTCAATCCCCAGCCTCTCTGTCTCTCTCTGTCTCTCTGTCTCTCTCTGTCTCTCTCTCTCTCTCACACACACACACACGCACACACACACACACACAAGGATTTGCCCATGAACTGGGCACACACAGAGGTGTGTGTGCACACGTGTGTGAGACTTCTGCCACACTGAGGAGCCACTGTCCATGGGAGGGCAGACGGCCCCTCACCCCGTGACACTGCACCAAGGGTGCAGATCCGCACTGTGTGGCTGCATGTGCAGACTTGGGACGGTCTCCTGCAGCCTCAGTGACCTCACTGTCCTCTCCGCTGACTCACAGGCCCTGGCCAGCTCAACGGGCCAGAAGTCTCTCCTTCCTGCCCCGAGGCGTCGGAAAGAAAGACTGCGGCGCCCCCTGGCGGTCTCCTTACACTGCTCTCCCGCCCGGGTCCTCGCACGCACGGCCTTCTCCCAAGCGCTGGCCTGCACCCATGGCGTCCTCTGGCGGCCGCACCGTGAGACCCACAGGTTTTCCTGGAGCCAGGCATGGGAGGAGCCCAGCCGTTCTGCGGGCTGACCTGGGCCCACCTGTACGCGCCGGGGGACCCTTCCTTCACTCTTACACTGGGCAGCACTCCACGCTGGGCACTGCTTATCCCGACATCTCAGGGGCTTCTCCAATCTTTAAACAGTCTGTAAACACAGAAGCTGAGTTTATCCTAAAGCCCTGCCCATACTAGCTGTGCTTGTCTCCTCTCTCCCTGCCCTTCCATTGGTACTGGGAATTGAATCCAGGACCTTCACAGCGAGCTACATCCCCAGCTCTTTTATTTTGAGACAGAGTCTCGATAAGTTGCCCCAGGCTGGGCTCAAACGTGTGATCCTCCTGCCACAGCCTCCCAGAGTGCTGAGGTTACAAGACTTCAGGAGTGTGTCACCATGCCCAGCTACAGGTATTACACACACACACACACACACACACACGCACGCACGTGCGCATGAATCAAACTTGTTTGGGCTTAAGCACACTTTTATTTCCTGCTGGTGTTACTGGTACTCCATCCCAAAAGCCCTGTGAATACCAAGAGTGAGTGGGCACGAAACCCCCTAGGGCTCACCCATGGGAAGAGAGGGCCAGGCCTAGCTACAGTGGCCAGGATGTCCCAGAAGCCCTGTCACGCGCTCCTGGCCTCTCAGCTGTCACTTCCTGTGGCTCAGGGCACAGGGTGCGAGGGATGCGGGTAGAGGACAGGGCCCAGACAGCAGTGTTCAAGGCCTCGTTCCCTCAGGGCCAGGAGCAGGGCTAGAAGGAGGGGTCAGCAGTGGCCTCTGGCCCGGTAGCCTTCCCGGGTGTCCCCAGGACTTCGCTGGGGGTGGATCATGGGCCTGTGGAGACACAGGTATCTCTCTTGCTGGCTGCCCCTCCCCATTTCAGAGCCTGCGCCCTGGTGTCCTCACTCTGACTCCTTATTTCATCCAGCCACTGGCACTGATTCAGCCCCTGAGAGCCAGGGTGGCTGTGCGTCCCCTCCCCACGCCAGCCTGGAGCCCACCCACCACCTCCTTCCACACTCACGGGCCTTCCAGGCACACAGGCAATCTGAGGGGATTCCCAGCTGCCATCCTCCCGGCAGCGGATCAGGGGCAGGTTGCGCTGGACCAGGCCTTCATGGCACCGGTATAGAAGCACAGTGTCTACCTCATAGCGTGGCTGTGGGCTGCCAAACACTCGGGCCAGTGGTAGCTCCGGCGGGGGCCCACAGGACACTGTTGGGGACACAGTTGGGGACTAGGAGCCTGGCACGGTAACAACAGCTCCCAGAATCTGTCTCCAAGGGAGGAGGGGATGGCACCCCAGGAGGCCCGACTGTGGCCCCTCCGCTGCCTCACCCAGCCCCATCTTGCAGGTGTAGGACAGGTGGTAGTTGCAGGGCACATCGCTCCACTGCCCCTGGTCGTGCCACACCATGACCACGCAGTTCTCTCCAGACAGGAAGTAGCTGTCAGGCTGCCCAGGGTTCCAGTTCTCGTAGAGCTGGGGAGGTGGAGGTGGTGAGGAACTCCAGAACTGTAACCCTGCGGGGTGGGCTCAGTGGGGGGAAGGGGAAGGCTGGGGGCTGGGGTTGGGGACACTCGGTCAGAGGAAGTGAGAGGGCTGGGGCTTGTGGATAGAGCAGGAGGCTAAGAGAGCAGGGCAGGGAGGCTGGAGAGGCCCTGGGGAGGGACGAGGCCTGGGCAGAGGCAGGCAAGAGGGGAACGACGTCACTTCCGGGGGCGCGGCGTGTTCCGGGGTCCCCTCACCAGAGGCACGCCGTCCGACCACAAGAAGTCACCTTCGATGGTCCTGTCGTTGAGCCCAATCCATTGGTACTCTCGGTAGCGACCTGGAGGGCGCAGGCGGGACGCAGGGCGCAGTGAGCTCCGCTGCCGGTAGGGGGCGGCCGCTCCCGACCCCAACCCCTAGTCCCGCTGGGCTGGAACCGGCCTAGCGTGGGCCCGGGCCGCTCCCTCCGAACTCCCGTAGCGGCCGGGCGGGTAGGGAGGGGAAGCCAGGCGGCGCACCGTTGAGGAAGGCCTGCTCCTCGGGCGTGCGCACGCTGGCCAGGTGCGCGCCCAGCCTTCGGCACTGGCTCTCCGCGTCCTCCCAGCTGCGGCGCGCCGCGAAGTGCCTGTAGCAGGCGCCCTGGAAGGCGTCCCAGCCCGGACTGCAGGAGCGGAGGCCTGGGCACAAAAGGCAGGGTCTCATGCCGGAGCACGGGTGTGGCTCTGGTCTGGGTGTCTGCACCCCACCCTGTCCGCCCAGCTCGGCCCCCGTCTGGCAGACAAGGCCGTGCGCACCGCCTTCCTCCTGACGCCCAGGCGGGCCCGAGGCTCCGGCTCCGCGCGAGACAGGACGCGGAGGGCAGACTCAGGGAAGTTGTGAAGCTTCTAAACCAGGGACTCATTCACGACAGATTCAAACCAGCGTCCGTGTCCTACCTTCCACCCAGAACAAGCACACTGGGATCCAGGCTCTGGACCCCCCACATCCCCTAACAGACTCACCGACATCGCACAGAGGCCCCCCATAGCCAGGCAAGCACAGGCAGCTGACCCCCTTTTCCTCCTCCACGCACGTCCCACCGTTGTGGCAGGGGCTGGGTACGCAGTCACCTAGGGGAGGAGCGAAGTGAGGGGACAGCAGGAGCCTGGCTCTGCAGCCTGCACCCTGGGGAGGCCCAGAGGGACCAGGCCTGTCTCCCCTGAGGGCCGGCCGAGTTCTGGTTTCCCCTGCCCCCCAACACTGTCTGGGCCACAGTGGCCTTGTCCAACAGGAGCGGGGCATGGGGGTGCCGACAGAGTGGGCTGTTCTATGAGCCCGCTCCTCTCTGGTGCTGTGTGCTCTGGGAGGGCTGGGGTCCTGTCCAACTCCCTGTCTTCCTGCCCCTTCCCAGTTCAGTCCGGCACAGCCTGGTGAGCAGGCATGGAGGCGGAAGAGGAGTTTCTATAGCAACAGCGGCCCCCTTGCCTGCTCCTAGTACCTGTCATGGGGCCCAGCTGAGCCCTGACCATTCTCCCTCCATCCTCCCAGCACGGGAGGGAGTGGAGAGCCAGCCAGAGTCCTTGCTCGCTGTCCTGTTCCCTCTGCCTCGCCACTGTCCCACGGTGCTGGCTGGCACACAGCCCCACTGCCCCAACACATTCTTAGTTTTTGGCGTTGGGCACTGAACCCAGGGCATTGTGCTGCTAAGCAAGTATCTGCCACTGAGCCCTTTTACAGATTCTGAGACAAGCGCTCGCTGAGTTGCCCAGGCTGGCCCTGGACTTGTGGTACTCCCTCTGCAGCCTCGAGCAGCTGGGATTCGGGGTGCAGGCTACCAGGCCTGGCTTTCCCTGTGTATCTCACGGACACTCTGCTTGGGGTCTGTGGCAGGCTCCCCGGTAGGACTGCACCTCACTCACTCCTGCTCTCTCCTCCAGGCTCCGAGACTGACCCTTCCCTGTCCAGGCTGCAGTCTATGTCTGTATCTGCTCAACTGGCACGGCCACCTGCTTCTGCGGGTCTCTGGACCCTGGGGTGGGAGGTGGCTTCTCTGGGCCCTGCCCAGGTGCCGGAGGAGCTGTCCACTTCCTCTCTGATTCAGAAGAGCCAGGGGGAGATGGCTCCACAGACCACAGTGCGGGTCAGGGCCCTGATGGGAGGAAAGTCACCCTCCAGCAGGGCCCTTCGGACCTCGCCATCTTCCCCTGGAGCTGATGCCAAGGCCCACAGTGCTTCACGCCGGCCTGGCCACAGATCCCACTGTGCGCTGGGGAGCCGAGAGCAGAGGTGGGGAGGAGAAGCTGAGGCTGATTCAGAGAATTTCTCCCGGGTGACCTCGCCGTTTGGGTAAAACGAATCCGCTTTGCCAGCACCACTCCCATCATCTTACTCCTCTGGCCACCAGTCTCTTCCCAGCTGGTAGCGCTGTTTTCGTTCAACCAACCAAGAACTAGGCCAGCAGTGGCCAGGACCCTGAACCACCCCACTTCACATTACCTGCTTCCCCTCACCCCTGCTGTCCTTCCTGTCCAGCCCTCCACGCCTGGGGGACAGGACTCAGACTCATTGTCCCCACCCCGGACCATGGGACATCCCTGGCTGCGTGGCAGGACCAGACCCCACGTGGGCAGACCAGGGTGAAGGGCCACTGCATGGGGGCCATCTCGTCCTCCTCCCCTCCTCTCGGTGGGCCTCTCCATCCCTCCGGGTGCAGCGGCTGGCCAGGGGACCTCTCGCTCCTCCCCCAGGGCTGGTAACGAAACCCTGCAGTGACCTCCACAGGTGCTGCTTTTCCCACCAGCCCCTCCCTCACCCCTCACGACGCTGAACTCCAAAGGAGTCCAGCCACGGCGCACAGTAGGGACCCAAGCCCAGACTGGACCATCCCGAGGAGCAGGGCTGGGCTGGGAGGATCTGAACCCAGGGTGTGGTGCTGCGACTTCCCTGGGAAACTCCTCTGGGAATCAGGCCCAGGAGCAGGCAGGGCTTCTCTGGGACCCCGGTGCCGAACTCCCTCTCCTGCACACACCCTCATTCACCCCATTCGCATCTTCCCCAGCGTTACAGACACGGCCTTCATGAGTACAGGGTGAGCGGGAGAGCTGTGAACCGTGTGGGGAGTCGGGCTTGTCCCCTGCTGGGACGAGCAGCCAGGGAAATGACTGCTGAGACTTTCCGAGTCCCACTCTGTCCCGGAGCCTCACGGCAGTCAGAAACCATGCACCAGCACTGTCCCCCGCCCCAGCTCTGTGCAGGGGTGAGGACCGCTCTCACCGCGGGGGCCGCCCCCATGGGAACAGGGCTGACATCGGCAGGGAGCGTGGGCAGGACTGGGGAGAGGTGGGCGGCAGCAAGGCGGTTAGACTGCTAGGACGGGGGGTGGAAGAAGGAAAAAGAGGAGAGGCACAGAGAAAGTGGGGACAGGCGGCCAAAGAATAGCACCAGAGGCCGAGGAGCGAGAGAGAAGACAGCGGAGATGGAGACAGGGTGGCGGCTCGGTTACGAAGCAGTTTAATAGACATTTATTCCAAGGCTTGTTTTCTATGAAACAGTTAAAATACTTCACAGAAGTAGTGGTTTAAGGCTCTGTGGGGCGAGGGCTCTCCTGGGCCCCAGGGTCCAAGGGGCAGGGGCAAACTCCCAGGCTTCCCTGAGACAGACCAGGGGCAGGAGGCCGAGGAGACCTAGGAGGGCAGATGGGCCCGGCCCACGCAGCAGTGTCGAGGCCATCTGGAGAGGCGTGAGGACCCCCGAGGGGCCCGTGGGCTGCCAAGGTCACAGGGGCCAGCGGAGGCTGGAGCCGCAGAGCAAGGGACAGAGAGCAGGGTGGAGGTCATGGGTGAGGATCCGACGCCGGAGGCCCGCAGGCGGAGACGCGTGAGAGGTGAGACAGGACAGGCGTCGGGGGACAGTGGGGCAGGGACCACGGGTCAGGCAGCCCAGAGCTGCACGGGGAGAAGAGGGAGGAGCAGGGCCAGGAAGGCCGAGCCCTGGGCAGAGTTACCTGGTGAGGGGGCCTCGGCCACTCCACCTCGGCCGGCGCTGTCAGTGGGCAGCACGGGAGCGGCCTGCCCCGAGGTCCCCGCGGGGGCTGCTCTTCCAGAGTTCTCAGAGGGGCCCTCCTCCAGTTCCCTCGTCCCTGGGAGGGCTGCAGTGGCAGGAGGCAGGGAGGGAGCATCTTAGCCACTCCACCGGCCGGCGCTGTCAGTGGGCAGCACGGGAGCGGCCTGCCCCGAGGTCCCCGCGGGGGCTGCTCTTCCAGAGTTCTCAGAGGGGCCCTCCTCCAGTTCCCTCGTCCCTGGGAGGGCTGCAGTGGCAGGAGGCAGGGAGGGAGCATCTTCGGAGCTCCCCGCCTCCTCGCTTTCTCCTTGAGGGACCCCAGAGAGCTCTGGACCCCCAGTTTCCTCCCCCACCTCTCTCGCCCCAGCTGGAGTGGAAGGCAGTGGGGGTGCTGGGCTCCCCTCTGTGGGAGCGGGCAGAGCCTCGGTAGGTGGTCCGCGGAGCCTTGGAGGTCGGGGAGCTTCTGAGTCTCCCTCAGGAGCTGGCGATGTGCCCGGCTGCAGGACCCACGGTGCCTGGGAGAGCCAGTCCTCCGATTCTTGTGAGGGCACCTGGCTGCTGAGTTCACCAGGCCATGCCCATACGTCCTCCTCCTCCTCTGCCTCTTCTTCGTCCCCGTACACTTCTTCTTCCTCTGGGGACCCCGTGGGAGGTACAATGGATGCAGTTTCAAATTCTGGGCAAAGCACAAAGAGTTCAGCACCAGGGACAGCGCCCAGGAGGGCAGGAAGGCTGGGACGCAGGAAGGGACGCTCCAGAGAGAGGAGAGGAGCTGTCTCCCCCACCCCGGGAAGACTGCGACCAGAGGGCTCCGTGCAGGCCACGGCGCTGAGAGCTGCAGGGAGAGGAGGCTGCTGTCGCTCCCGCTCCTAGTCTGTCTCTAGTCTGTTTGGGTTGGGAAGGCGGAGAAAGACCCAGGAAGGGACAACTGTCCTTGCTGGGGAAGCCTCTTGTCCAATCAGCAACAGACCCAGAGAGTTGGGGTGCACTTTGCTAGAAAAGCAAACTGGGACAGGTGCCGGAGAGATGCCCAGGAAAGAGGACAGGATCACGACAGCCCCAAGCCAGCATCCCCTTCCCTGCAGCACCCTCCCTGGGGCAGGTGAGGGGTGAGGTTACCTAGGAGGGTGCTGGGGGCCTCTGGTGGGCCCTCGGGAGTTGGGCTTCTGCCTCCCCCATCTTCCATGATGGGGATGGAGTAGATGGCTCCCCTGGATTCGCTCTCCATCCCTTCAGGAGGCAGCTGCAGCTCCTCCAGGGTCTCTGTCACCGTGACGATGGCTTCGAGCCCATCAGAGGCTGGGTTGGAGGCCCCAGGAATGGCAGAAGGGTGGGCAGAGTCTGTGGCAGGAAGAAAATGCCGGTGGAGGCTGATGAGTCAGGTGGCCCCCTTGGTCATGGTCTGTGTGGGGGCTCCAGGCTGGCCTGCGGAGGACCCTGGAATTCTCAGCTCCCCCCTGCTTCCCTACAGAGCACCACTGGGGCCCAGGAGAACCCCAAACTTTGCCACCCCTCCCTCAGATGTTGGCCAAAGGCCTTTTATTGTCCTGTCTCTTGGGCACTGAGAATACAGTGCAAAATAAAATAGCAAGCTTCCTGCCTTTGAGGAAATTTATATTCCTGATAAGAGATGGCAAGCAAATATGCATATTTTATTTATTTATTTTTGTTTTGGTACCGGGGATCAGACTTGCGCCCTTGTGCTTGGGAGGCAGGCGGCAGAACCACTGAGCCAAATCCCTAGCTCGAAGCATATTTCATGATACAACGTTCGGAACAATTCAACAGAGTTAGGAGACAGAGCAATGTGACAGATGGACCAGGAAAGGCCCAGCGAGAGCTGATCCCTGGAGGGGAGGACAGAAGCTGAAGGACGGGTGGAGTGGCCTCCATGCCTTGGTCCTGGGCTCAGCTCAAGGTGCTTCCCCAGCCTCTTGGCGCAGAAGGGCACAGTGACATCCCCACAGGAGAGCCGAGGAGCAAATGCTGTCACCACCCATGGGTCCCAGTGTAGGCAAAAAGGGGCCATCTCCTTGAGGACCTGCTCTTTCCAAATACCAAGTTAGAATGGATCATCTTGTCCTCTGCGGCAAGCCCAGGAACGGAAGGTGGAACTGGGCCGAGGAAAGCCCTGACAGCAGTCTGTGCCCAGACAGGCAAGAAGGACAGCACGCCTCTGCCCTGTCACCTGCTCCAGTGAGCCTGGCTTCCTACCAGACCCGCTGGCCCGGCTGTGCTTCCTGTCCTTCATCACCCCGTCGTGCTCCCCCCTCCACTTCTTCCAGGAGGAAGTGCTTGGCCAACAGACTATCCCCAGCTGTCCCTGAGGTCCTGCTCCCTGTGGGGCAGTTGTGTCCGTCCATCAGTACGTGGTGGTTAAAGATCTGACACAGGTTCCAGAAACCTTCTTGAGTGCATTTGGTTAACTAGAACCTGAGCAGGTCACTCACTGGATCCAGAGAATGTCAGTCATCTCTACTCTGCCAATAAGCTCGTGGGAAATGAGCAGTTCCTCAGCAGCCCAGTGAAGACACAGGCATGGCCTACTGGGCGGGCAGGTACGGTCATGCAGAGGTGGTCACTCTCCACGCCCACGCTGCTGAGTGAGACCAAGCCAGGGTCATGCCCGGAGTGAGAACCCTGGTGACAAGCTGGGCACCACCTTCAGGCAGATGGCAGGGACCCCTGCAGCTGGGCAGGGAGGGCTCACCCCGGAAGCAGTAGACATTAAAGCGGCTGTGCTTGTTGGGGAAGCCGGTCTGGTTGGGGAAGAGGAAGAGCGTCTTGACGCCAGGTAGGCCCCCACCGCAGCGCTGGCTGGGCGTGACGATGGGGTAACGCACGCTGCCGTCGGCCAGCCAGCCAGGGCTGCAGCGGTCCAGGCCACCATCCCAGGCTGCGTACAGCTGGCCCGTGGTGGCGATCTCTGCACCCCGCTCCCGGCAGTATGCCCGGGCCTCCTCCAACGTCAGCTTTTCTGGAGGGGCGCCTAGGAACAGCTCCCCTGGGTGGGAAGAGGAGGCCGTCACCAGGCCCGGCAGGCAGTCGGCCACCCTTACACCCGAGCCTCAGGCCACCCCTCTGTGACGCCGGCCAGCAACCCCACCTCCTAGGACCACAGACTGGACAGAAGCTCATGGACACTGGAGGTCAGAGGGAGGTGGCCCGCCTTAGAACCTAACCGCCACCGCAGCCTGCCCTGCCACTCGTCCGAGGCTCTGGTCAGGACCTGGCCTCCATGACCTTTTGGAGAGAGCGACACTGACGGTCTCCTCATCCCGCTTGCTCCCCTAAGTGCACCGTGAGGTCTGGGAGGGCCCAGGAGCTGAACAAGGGGTCTGTCCTCTGCACCGAGCCCCAATCACCGTTCAGGTCCTCAGCATAACAGTACACGTCGTAGCGGTCGTCCGGGTGCACCACGCCGTAGTTCCGGACACCGGGGAAGCCGTCCATGTCACCGTAGCAGGCCTCTCTCGGGGTCTGGATGGGATACCTGGGGGCGCAGGCTCGGGTCCAGGGCCAGGCCGCGCCCCCGCAGGCCCC